TGTATTTTCTCCTAGAAATTACTAGTTAACGGTCTTGCTGTTTTTCTTCATTGTTTATCCCACAGGACTTCTAGATTGTGTTCGTTGGTTTTCTGGCTGTCTTCCATTGTTGAACCCTTTGCCCCCTTCTGAGCTGTAGCATAGAGTGATTCTTCCAATAGCCTCAACTTTTTTATTATCAAAACTATCAGCTCATATGAGTCACATAATTAATTGATATCTGCTTCCAGGAAGGAAGCTAATTTGGCCCAGGCCCCATCGATCATCAGAAGAGTTTCCTTTTGTCACCACGACATTGTGCAAAGTGGGGGAAAAATAAATAAGAGTACCCTCTTTGGACAGATAAAGTACAAAAATTCCTCCTCAGGTGGAAAAATTAGAAAAGTGTCCCTCTTCCATGGGTGGAAAAACCAGGGCACGCCTTGAGTGGGAGAGGGATTTTAGTCTCATCTTACCAATATGCAGGATATAACCATACAATTACTTGCAGTGGCCTCGATTGCCATAGCATAACTTATTTTTTAACAAACAAACTAATAGACTTTATGGATACCTCTTTTACAAGCGCAGTTACCCAATATCTGGTCTAAGTGTTTTTGTGAATACGTTTTCCATACCAGTTACTCCTGGTTTTGTTCCTTCTTTCTTTTTTTCAACAGTTCTATTGAGGTATGATCTATATACCATAACATTCATCTCATTGTAAGAATATGGTTCAATTATTTTTAATACATTTACAGCATTATACAAATATCACTATAGTCTAGTTCTGGAACACTTCTGCCGCCACAAAAAGTTCTCTGGGGCCCGTTTGCCTTCAGTTCTAGCTCCTACTCCCAGCCCTAAGCAGTCACTGGTCTATTTCCTGTCTTTATTGATTTGCCTTTTCTGCAAATCTCATATAAATGCGACCATATCTTCCTCTAGCTGCTTTGTTCTGCTAAAGTAGTAAGGGCCCAAATCTAATCACGGTCCCGATGCTCCTTTTGCTGTGTTCTTCTGCTAATCTGCGAGGGGTGCAACAACTGGATATCAGTCCTGTCCCCTTCTACTGCTACCGCTGGCCCTTACTCATCCCTTGCCCTCCATTCTGCCTCAGCATTCAAGCATGCTCTGTTACCTCTCGTCTTCGAACATTCTCCCTTGTCCAGCATCCTCTCCAGCCACCACCCCATTTCTCTGAGCCACTTCAGAGCCCAGCTTCTCAAGGTTTGACTTCATGTGCTCTTCCCACTCTCTAGTCTCCTGTGAACTCTCTTTTTAAAAAATGTTTTTAGGGGTGCCTGACTGGCTTGGTTGGAAGAACATGCGATTCTTGATCTTGGGGTCATGAGTTTGAGCCCTATGTTGGGTGTAGAGATTAATTAAATAAATAAATTCAGGAAAAAAAGTTTGTATACTACCTGGTGTGAATAAAAGAATGTTAAAGGTAATACAGTAATAGTAATATAGTAATAGTGATACAGTGAAGGTCTACACCTGTCATCCACTCCTTCCACCAGCTTTACCCACAGTGGAACCCATGACTCCAAGTATCAGAAATTTCTTACTCATCATGACATTTTTTGTTCTCTGTGGCCCATTTCTAACTCCTTTTTCCCCCCAAATGTTTGTTTATTTATTTTTAGAGAGAGACTGAGTTCAAGCAGGGAGGGACAGAGGGAGAGAGAGGGGAAGAGAGAGAATCCCCAGCAGACTCCACGCTGTCAGCACAGAGCCCCATGAGGGGCCCGACCTTATAAACTGTGAGATCATGACCTGAACAGAAATTAAGAGTCAGACGCTTAACTGACTGAGCCACCCAGGTGCCCCTCTAACTCCTTTTTGAAGTCTACTTTTAAAACAAGGAGTCTAGGCTCACTAGTCTTTGACATCCATTACATCGCTAAAATTCCCTGATTACTATTGACAGAGTAGTTTCTTGTTTAGGATGTATTGTGGAAGATTTATAGCTTACACTGTTGAATGTTACTATATTTTTATGAAGTCTTGGCTACCTGTATGATATATAATTATAATATAATTTCCATAGGAAATCTATTCTACTTTCTATTAATTTGCTTTAGAATGCTGGGGTTTTTTTTCCCTAAAATTTTGAAACTAAAAGCTGAGCTTCCTCTAATGTTCTCCACTAACCCTATCTATCTTTGGATTGAATTCATTTAACCAGTACATTTGCCCCAAGGGAGGTATAGATGTCAATTATTGCTACAACTTAATACTAATGACTACTTAAATATTTAATTAATGTAATACTTGACACTTAGGGAGAAACTATTTATAATCATCGAAACCAGGCCTTTGTTTTCATCTTCTGTGCCTGGAGTTTAGTGTATCCCTTTTGGAACGCAGGTTTGGAATGAAGTGCTATGGGAGTGAAAAAGCACCTCTCTCTCCTACCTTCAGGCAGAAAAAGTTGCATAGAAAGTGACTCATGGTGGGGCGCCTGGGTGGTTCAGTCAGTTAAGCATCTTGATTTCGCTTCAGGTCATGATCTCACAGTTTTGTGAGTTCAAGCCCTGTGTCAGGCTCTGCATTGACACTGCAGAGCCTGCTTGGGATTCTCTCTCTCTCCCTCTCTCCCTCTCCCCCTCCCCAACTCACACTGTCTCTGTCTCTCTCAAAATAAATAAATAAACTTAAAAAGAATTTTAGAAAGTGACTCATGGTGGGTATTTACAGTATTAGTAATTACATTTGTTGATTTTCCAAGCTACATTTTTATTGAACATTCATTGCATTTCTTGAAGTTTGAAATATTTTATTTATTTTTTTTATTGTGTATTGATGTTATTAAAACAGCTCTTAAAAGCATTCATTTTAAGGGGTGCCTGGGTGGCTCAGTTGGTTAAGCATCTGACTTTGGTTCAGGTCATGATCTCACGGTTTGGAGGTTCGAGCCCCGCATTGGGCTCTGTGCTGACAGCTCAGAGCCTGGAGCCTGCTTCAGATTCTGTGTCTCCCTCTCTCTGTGCCCCTCCCCCACTCATGCTGTGTCTCTCTCAAAAATAAATAAAAATGCTAAAAAAATTTTTTTAAAAAAGCATTCATTTTAAGAAATATTGGAAGTTTTTAATGAGTAGACCAAAAGTGGCTGACTGTTTTCCTAGAGGTAGGTCTGACAGGAGCACCACGGGAAAAAGATCTTTTTGCCCTGAGAAGTGAAGGCCAAGGAAAGAAGAAAAGAGCTCAGTTGAGAGCTCTATGTTCATATGAAAGATTACATTCCAGCTAACTGGATTCCAAGGCATAAGTCATCCCTGGGTTCTGGAAATTCTCCTATGTGAGCAGGTCCTGTGACTCTAACATGCATATCTCAGAGTTTCCCTTTAGTCTGAGAATTTCTAGTCTTTAACATCATACATTGGCAGTCTCTGCTATTATTGAACACATATTCTGATTTTATTCTGAAAATGCCTTGTTTGTGGTGTTAGCCTCTGTTAATAATAAATCTGTTTGACCAATTTGTTGCACTTTTCCTCCTACCTAAAATTAAAAAGAAAGGAACAAGCATATCTTCTATTTAAGTGGGGAAATGAAGATTTATTGATTTGACAAACTAAGTCCACAAGAGGCATGAGCTGTCAAATGGGCCTGTGAAATGGCTTAGAGGTGTGCATATTTTGAAACACTCCATCGGTCAGTGAGGCTCTTCCTTGTACACTCATGACTTTAAGAAGTTCACTCCAGGGGCGCCTGGATGGCTCGGTCGGTTAAGTGTCCGACTTCAGCTCAGGTCGATCTCACAGTCCGTGAGTCCGAGCCCCGCGTCGGGCTCTGGGCTAATGGCTCAGAGCCTGGAGCCTGCTTCCGATTCTGTGTGTCTCTCTCTCTGCCCCTCCCCCATTCATGCTCTGTCTCTCTCTGTCTCAAAAATAAATAAACGTTAAAAAAATTTTTTTTTTAAAGAAGTTCACTCCAGACCTCATTTATAACACCCACCACCTTTACAGAAACCTTTCATTAACTTCAGTCTTTGTTCTCAGTCATCACAAATTCTGAAATAGCCAGATTCAGTGCCCTGAGGCATAATTTTTCTATTTGTCTTAAACCTTACTCACTGTTGCATTTAGTCAAAAATGATAAGAAAAATTAATGACTTTTTTATCATCATACTAACGAGGGATCTCACTAAGATCTTAACTGCTTTAGATAAAAGATAAAAAATAGTTCTTCACGAACTAGAGTATGGTTAAGATCAGTATTCATATTCAGAGATAAGGCTCATTTTGTGTTTCATTGCACCCTTCTATGCCATATAGTCAGTGTGAAATATTTAAGAATTTATTTACTTACTTGAGCTTTCTGTGTTGTAGAAGAGAAAACAGTGATGTTTTAAATTTTTAGATTTATCATAGAAGTATTATGCTTTCAAGTCTTCGACATTTTTATGTGCCTGAAAGGCTCCTCTTACATTTGTGGTGTTTCTTGTTTGCATTATGATGTGTGATGTATCAATTGCATATTACTCTGTAATGTCAGCTATTTTATTTCCATGTTACATATTTCTCATTCAACCTATAAAATCTTCAAGATGAACAAGGAGGGCTCTGGTCTGTAGTCTCTTCTCAGGGTCATCTGCATGTAGTTGTGCCAAGCTGCTGTTTCGTGTGGGTAAGAAGTTTTGTGTTCCATTTCACAGGTGGGAAGCATCAAGCGGGAAATGACCTTCACATTTCAACCAGAGGACTTAAAACGTGACTCTAATAAAAAAATGTCTCATCAACACTTGTTTCCATTGGCCATGGAGGAAGATGTGAAAACGGCAGACACCAAAAAAGCCAACCGAGTCCTTGACCATGAAAAAGAAAACACGCGCTCCATCTGTCTCCTTGAGCAAAAACGAAAAGTTGTTTCTTCCAATATTGATGTTCCTCCAGCAAGGTAAGGGAACATTAGCCTTTCTATGTGTTTGCCTGTGGAGAGTGTGTACAATCTCTACCATATTTCTCCAGAGTATATAGACTTAGGAGGGGCTTTCTGCCAAGAACATTTTTCCGTTGCTTGTGTGAAGTAGAGCAGGTGGCCCTGCTCTTCGGAACTGACTTCATGACTGCGCTAGTTGCGAGTATTGTCGCTGTAGAAAAGAATGTTTTATTCGATTCTGGAAAATGAATAATAAAAAACAAGAGAGTAAATGTCAAAAAAGAAACGTGAAATGTAGTACTGAGCGTAACCACTTAAAAGCAGGGATACTCACATCTTTTGGGCAGAGGTTGGAGAGCTATGACTACAGGCCAGATTCAGCTCCTGGCATGTTTGTGTATAGCCTGTGAGGTACGAGTGGTTTTCCATTTATAAAGGGTTTTTTTAAAAAATGAAGAATATGTGACATCGATCACAGGTGGCCTGCAAAGCCTAAAATGTTACATGTGACTCATCACAGAAAAAGTTTGATGATCCCTGGTTTATAGCATTGGTAATCCTTTTAAGACAGATCTACCTTAGAACTGGGCCAAGAGGGTTTATTTGAAGTATCAAAAGACTTTTATCACATTGTAATTTTATTTAAAATATATCCAGTAGCATTCAATCAAAGCACAACATTATGGCAGAATGACGTGGAACAGTAGTAAAATGGAGCATAGTAGACCTTTTACTTATTTTCTTGCTTGTCATTTATTTCACCTAGAAAATAAGTTACACGTTGGCCAGGATTTTGGACCATCTTGTTCATGCTGTATCAATAGCACTAAAATAATGCTTAGTAATGTACTAGGGGCTCCATAAATATTTGTTGGATGAAAGAAAGAAAATTCTGTAGCATAAAAACGTGCTTATTTTTAATATGTAAACCATATTTTGTTACCAAAACCCAGCAGTCTCTAAACGACATATCTGTCTCTGAAGCTTTCATCATTTCTTCACTTAGTGATGTCTGGTTATAAAAAATGACAGCCCCCTCCAAAAGAGATTGTGAATGGAGAATTATAAGCAGATTTTTGAGGAGTCCTCTATTTTGTTTGAATGGTTTCAACTCGGAATATAGTATCCTTGGAAAAGGAATAAATGTTTCTTTTTTGCCTATTTACTTTTTATAAGTAGAATTTCATTGCTTTCTATATTAAATCAAAAGTATCTCCTCTAGGAAATTGTGTATTTTTCTATTCTACTACCAAATTTGTCATACTTTCTAAAATTATAGTTCTCTTTGTTTTCCTTAACCTTTGTTGAAAATTTTCATATGTTCATGGCTTCTGTTTAACCACTTGGAATTATTTGCTTTTCTAATTTTTTCATACAAAGCACATGTTAAATTCTTTAGGATTAATTCCTTTAACTGGGGGTTTGTTATGAAATGTTTTATCATGCCCTAAAACTGGTAGGTACCTCAGTTCATAGCTGTTATTTGGTTGACTCATAGGACAAGTGACACGTTAAGTTGAAATGTGAAGAGCTATGGTTTTATTTTCTTTCTGAGCTTGTCGTGCAAAAAATTAGACTTCCCAATGTCAGATCGTCAGTGATGACTTGTACTTCCACAGGATTTACTGCAGCTAAAAATTCCATTAGAGCACTTTATATGTTAAAAGACCTGGAATTAATCATTTTAAATTACCATAGATTGTTTTAGATATATCTTTATTCTTTAATTTCACCCCATTGCAATAGTTTCTGGGGAAAAAAATGAAAAGGAAAGGAAGTAAAATGTTTTCTGCCTTTCCTGACTCTGGCATGTGGAATATTTTTTCCACTTTCTCCAATTCACTAACTGTACTTAAAAGTTACGAGTCAAGCCAGTGTTATTGTAGGGTTCTTAAGCAGTACAGGAAAGTTAATTAGATTTTGAATCCATTAATGTACAGCAAAAATTCCCCAATGACAAGATATAATTCAGACATATTCATCTATTTTGGGAAATACTAGTTAAAGCTTCATTCTTCGAGATTTCCTCTAATATACTTGTTTTCATTGCTATAGTATTTAATCATCACAAATATGCCAACAGTTGGTGAAATAAATTGCCCTTTTTCTTGATGATGATGAAGGAATCACAAAATTGTGGGGTTTAACTATCAAACTCTCAATTCTTTGGGTTCTATTTCCATGTACTGTTATGGAATTATTTTGTAAACGTCGACTTTCCACTATCATCTAAGTAAATCGGTGTTTTGTTTTGAAAACTCCTTTTCCTGACACGGTAGGAAGATATGCGACTTTTCTTTTGTTCATAAAAGCAAAATGTAATCTGTCTATTGGCAGTGTATAGATAATGAATTTTGAGTGAGTCTACAGTACCGTGAAGTTTTTTGGTATAAGGAAAGCTATATCTTACATAATATATGTGTGTGTGTGTGTGTGTGTGTGTGTATGTATATATATAAAATACGTAGCTCTATCCACCTGATTATTGAAACGTATTCTCCTAAATCCAGATATTATGTTTTGGCCAGTTCTTATAAAGGCATTTTTGACCAATAGAGTATCACTGTTAAAGAGTTTCTTGGCAGTTTAAAATCAATTCTTTATAATCTTTCTCACTCTGTCCTTTGCTTATTCCCACTATAGGCAAAAGGATCTTTGTTGACCTTTGCTTTCTATATTTTCTAAAATGGTACTTGATGTTTATTTTCTGTGGTTTATATAATGAAGATAATAGATATATTTTGCTTTTTCATATCCCTGGAAGAATCTGGGAACTACCCTCCCCATCTTTATATCTCATTGTGATGGAGCATTTCCTGCTTCCATTCAGTAGCTTATTTATGGAGTACCTGCTATGAACGCAGCACTCAGTAAAAGAAAATTGGAATGAAATGGGATGCCAACCCTGTACGAGCTTGCAGTTGAATCATGGAAACAGCCACCTAAGTAGCTAATATCAAGTAACGGTTCCTAATTTGCTCCCTTCTTTTTAGAACTGAACGAATTTGTACATAAAGGAGAATCTCTCAATATTACGGAAGTTATTAATTTGATACAACTATTCAAAAGCCTAGTTTTTTGTTGTTGTTAGTATCTTTTTCAAGATGAGGATGAATGGAATTGAGAAGGAGGAACTCTGAGATCTACTCTACAAAATCCATGTTTGTTTACCCATTTTCTGAGGACCCATTTGAAAGTTGCTAGTTTCAGGAAAATATAAATTTAAATGAGTTACTAATCCCGATGTGTTAGGCTGGGTCATCTGAGAAACAAATGCCAAGGCAGGATTAAATCCAAGCATTTTATTGGGACAGATGCATGTGGGAGAAAAGGGGTGCGGCGAGAGGCATGGAAGGAGGGAGATACTGTGGAAGGAAGTCATACTGTGGTGCAGGGCTGAGCCCCGAGAGTGAGACAGCCAGGGAAGGTTGGGTGGAAGTGTGCTAGACGGCCTTGCAAGATCATCAGGAGTCCTGCATTATATGAATGCAGTGGAGTGCGCTTACCTGTGGGACATTGCTTGATTGATCTTAGGAAGAAGCAGCCTTTTCTTTTGGGGGGGCGTGGGGATGGAGGTGAGTGCATCATAGTGTTGAGTATTCCAAGTTCTTCAGTAGAGAAACTAAACAGAGCAAGAGTGTGTCAGAGAGCACGTGAATGTGCAGCGTTTCTTTAGAACTAAAGAGCTATCTATCATTAACAGAAAAGAAAATTCTTTGCAGTTTTTAAGGATTATTGGGGAGCAGGATTTGGGTTGGGGGTTACCAGGAGCATCAGTGATAACAGTGGGGACAACAGTCTCTAAACAATGTGTCTGTCTCTGAAGATTTCATCACTTCTTCACTTAGCGATGTCTGGTTATAAAAGATGACAACCCCCTCTGAAAGAGATTGTGAATGGAGAATGAAGAGTTACTAATTATAGATATGTCATCTTAAGTATTTTTTTAATCTCTGGGGAAAAATGCTAGCTGTCTTGATCTCTATGGAGAGTTGAGGAAAATGAACTTTCAGAGTATTTATAGAGACAGGGGTGTGAGTGAAGAGTCCCTCCAGAAAGGAATTCCAATACTGTGGTTTGGCTCAAGAAATGAATGAGACTAAAGGTCAGTAAGTAAAACAAATGCTAGTCAGTGGTTTCCTGTGGGCAGAGCTCAGCAACTCATTAACTAAGACAGTGATTTTAGCCTGTTTTTCAAAAAAAAGATGATGAACCTGGGCCAGATAATAACTGATTCATGCCCAGATTAGTGGTAGAAATCTGGGAAGAAAGAAAGAAAGATTTGAAATACAGTGTAGGAAATTTACAGATTAGCCCGGGATATGAGGCATAAAAGTAGTTGGAAGGAATTTTTCAGTTCTTGGAGTGTGTGCCAAGCTGTTGGGAGTAACATGAGACTTCTTATGAGTTGACTTGCTTGAATGTAGTTGCTAACACCACATTCTTTCACAGTCCAGAAAGTGAGTGTTTCAACTGACCCAAAGGGTAACTAGGCATGGTGGGCAAATCTGTGAGTATTAGAAGAGAGAACATGAAGGACTCGGGAGAGTCCCTTTTGGAGGAGAACTTTCCACTCGTGTTAGCTCTGCCTGTTGTAGGGCATTGCTGGGGATGCCACTGTATGGACTTCTACTATGGTTCCTAAAGACTGCTCTAGTAGTTCTCTATATTTTAAAGATTGTGTGTAGTATTCTTTGGTGTATATTAATTGAAATATACTGCTTTTAAGGTAAATAATTTTATAAAATCTGCTGATTTTGTAGTAAATCATGTAGATACTTACCAAAACAGAAACTGGGAGAAGCAAGCGCTGGGCACTCAGTAGCATCATCATGTAAGAACTGAGAGATTATAGAGAAGTTGTAAATTGTGAGGTAGTACAAATGATGATAATAAACATAAAGGGTTTTGGTCTGTGTGTGCCTGATGGGGCACGCATGAATAGAATCGTGTTCCCCAAAAGATGTGTCAAAGTCCTAATCCCCCAGTACCTGAGAATGTGAGCTTATTTGCAAATA